AGAAGAGCAGTGTAACAAAATGATGAGAGGTTGTTGGAGGAGACCACAAGCAGAAGAGGTAGTTGAATGCTGGAATTGGTCAGCTGTGCATACAGTAGAAGCTGGTTGAACGTGTGTTGATCCATTTTTTATCTAATACACAAAGTGGAACAGGGGTGGTGGTACTAGACTGAGCTATTTGAAAAGCATAATTAAATTATTGTGGCTTTTTTTAATTTAGTAACTTAATGCACCATTTTTTTTAACAGTAAAATAATTACTTAAGAAACTCAAATTGCTTAGTAGAACCCAACAAAGCAAAGGAACAGCCTCAAATAATGCTTATGCTCTAAAAAAAGAAATCTGGCCATACTAAATTGCATAGTGAGCTTCAGCAGTAAGTTAATTTCTTAATCCTAAGTTTTCAGTGAGTAAGATAGGAAGCTTTGTTCAATCTTTGGCAGTTTTGCTTTGACTGTCAATCAGGCACACAGTTGTGATGATGGGACTATGTGATGTGGTCAGTCCTGTTTCCTACATCACTTATTTTACTTACTTTCATTATTTTCTTTTTTTCTTGAGGTTAAGAAATTAGGCTTTCCAAATACTGCCATTATTCTCTATGGCTGGGTGATCAACTACAAGTAAGGTAAAGTAAGTTTTAAGCAACTAAACGCTAAAGCGAAACCTTTTTAAAAGGACTTTTTTTTTGTTCTTATTTTCAATCTCAAGTAGCATTCTTGAGAAGAGTTCCTCTTTGACTTCCTTCTACTTCCCAAAAGGTAAATGTTTTTCTTTGTGCACCAAAACTCTCAAAATAAAAAAATAAATAAAAATAATTCCTCACCTCATGTCACTGTGCTTATGATCTTTTGGTTCTTAAGTGAAGGTGAAGGTTATGGCTGTATGGCCTTTAAAACAAAGAAGTGATGAAGGAAATGGTGCTGGCAATATAGTAAGTTGGACACTTCCCTTTGAGTTTTGAGTCATTCCAGCTCAGGTCATTAACATCCCTTTGAATTGATGGTGACTTCTTTGCAGTAAAAAAAAACATGGTTTTTTTTCAAATCTAATTACTTATCAAGTACTCCTAATAAAGATCTGGACAATGTAGTTTATTGTTTTCTGCCTTTCAGGATTGCTATCTGGATTTTTTTTCAGTTATGATGTGTTTTGTTCTTGGACTTAAGTTGCTGTCAGCATTATACTTCTTTACATGGCTGCTCCATTTAATTCCGCATGTGAATAAATGTACTCCTCAGTGTCTCTCAGGACTTCAGAGTGTTTTGATGTCCTATTCAATGATGTTATACATTGTAATTCAATATTTCATAATATAATAAGCATTGGCAATATTAAACTAAGTAATATAGCGCGTTATTGCATACTTTTTTATTATTATTTTGCCATTTTTGGAATAAATTTCACTGTATACGTATTGCATCAGTATAGTTATGTTGAGAAGCAGTGTGCTTTAAAGCCAGTGAAGTTCCTCTTCCATCAGGATTAGTAGCTGCAGCAACAGTGCACTGTCCTGTGGGTGGTGGTAATGCTACGTTAATGAAGGCTGTTGCTGAGCACAATCTTTCTGACATGGCTGACTGACAGTGTGCCTTCTTTTTAATGTGAAATTAGTTTCCAAGAACCTAAGTCAGATAAACAGGTGGTTTCTTTAGCTGTGAACAAAATGAATGTGTTTTTTCCTAGTACACACACTCATCATTTGAAATATAATCAGTATCCACTTTTTTCTTGAAGATGAGTTTCTGTAGTGATTTGAATACATTGTAAATGTGCACTTATTCTTGGATCATTAGGAAAACCGTTGTGTTTGGGTGCGTAACTTTGAAAGAAAACATTAAAGCAATAGTAGAAAATTAAAATTAACTTCTGCATATTTTTGCTTAACTTTTTGTCACATATTTTAGAAGAAGAACATCTAAAATTACCTCAGAAAAGATAATCAGATTAGGGTAGTAAATAACTATCTGTTAACGTGTAGCATAAAAATCCATATAAGGAAATAATTAACAGCTATTTCTACTGATGTGCATAACTGTAAAAGATAATTAGTATTAAAATGCAAAATTATTTAGGGTAGTATGGAATAATTTAGCTTAATTTAAACCTTAATACAATTAATATTATTAGGAATGAAAAATCTTCCAAAGGACTTGCAGGTAGTAAACTGAAGTAAACTGAATTGGATCAGTCTTCTTACCACTTTGTAGGAATACCCGATGGTGCACAGGTTTTCTATTGTTTTTTTCCTCTCTCAGAAAAAGACTCTGGAAATCTGAAATCTACTCATTTGAAAGTTTTTATTGTTGGGTTTTTTTTTGGTTAATTCTCTCTTTATGGTGTTAGAATAACAGCATTCCCTCATTGCTAGAAATTCCAGATTTTTGTAGAGAAAAGCCATTGGATTTTTGTTTGTTTATTTGTATCAGTGATGCAGCCTCATCCTTCATTGAAGAAGAAGGCTCAAGTCATGGAAATGAACAGTTGTTTTCAGATTCCAATTTCAGAAATTTTGCTCGGGGGGGCTCTTTGGCTTAAAGTGTGCACCTAGAATCAAAAGGTGTGAAAGATTGTTTCTGAAAATCTTGACCCATCTGTAATTAAAAAGCTTTGGGTTTTTTTTGTAGTTGTTGATTTTTTATTTATTTATTTTTTTTTAATTAGAAGTCTGATTTCGATTCTACTTTGTTTTCTTTGATAGATTCAAATTTGCAAGTTCCTGACATGACATTGCAAAATGGAGAGAGATTTTTAGCATTGCAAAAGACTTTTCACTTGAGTGCTAACTATTTTTAGGAGCTAAACCTCCAGAAATGTCATTATCCAAAAAGTTGGTCTACCAATGACAGAATTACCCAGCAGTGAGGTATTGTTGTAGATACCTGTATTATCTGAAAGGTTTGTTGTCCAACTTTTTGTTGCTTTTTGATGAAGGTACGGAGTAGCAGTTTTATCCTGCATAGGAGTTCGAGTTTCTGAACAGTATGGCAATTACAAACATAAGACTGAGTAGTACTAAGTAATTTTAAGACTACATCTTTTTAAACTGCTTTGGGAAAAACCTTGAATTTGTCTCCTAGTATCTACTTGATTGTTTGGAAGGCATTAATTTTGCACCAAACATCCTTTCATTGAAGAGCTGCTGTTTTCTTTTTAAAGACATATTGGACTGTGCAGCAAATGATCTTCCTTATACATACTTTGATCAGGCTTAATATTTGTTACTATTAATATTGTTGTCTCTTATCTAAACAGCAGATAACAGTAAATAATATCACTTTTTTAGCAGGTGAATCTAAGCTTGCCAGTTTATAAAAAATAATTAATTCCCCTACTTTTAATCTAGAAGTTGAATAAGAATTTTCATGTGGAGCTGAATGTGTTGGACTTGCACATTTTCATTTTATGTGTTAACTTAGCTGTACTTTCTCTGTTTATTTTATGGGATGGCTAGAACCATGTATTGTACAAACTGAGTTGTGCCAACATAATATTTCCAATATGTTGTTTAATCACTGAGCAAGTCAGCTTTAAACCTGGGCAGTGTGCCCATACGCAGTGAGCAGCCCTGGGTTAGAGCAACTTAACAATTACACTAGTTGTGTTTAAAAAGCATTCTGACTCAAATCAGCTGTAATGTTGGAAAAGGTATTTAAATATGCCAATAACTTTTTAACATCATCAGAAAAGGACTTTTCTTTTATTCTCAGTCTCTGGAGGATGTCAGCACTTTTTCTCACTAATAGAAGTTTGTTTAGCACCAAGGAAAATTTGCTATCTTTGCAACTTTTCCAGCTCCAGCTGGCTTACATTGCAGAAAGTATAGCTCAGTGTTGAACCTCCAGTTTTGGAAGAGCTCGAATCACCAACTAGGCCTATGCCACGTAATTTGAACATATATATTGAAAGAGGTATTTTCTTGATGACACTGTTGTTACTAGTTCTGAAGAAAATATTAAAGCAGAGTTGTTTGTGATCTATTCTAAAAGTATTTCTGAAATACAGAAGAAACATTCTTCCTTCTCTGTGTGGATAACATACCAGATAGGAAGCTAGTATATCATTCTGCTTTCTAAACAGTAAATTAAAGAGCTGTCTCTACTACTTGCATGATGTTTTGGGGAAATCTTGCAACCAAAGAATTCATCTTTTATTCCAAAATCCAAACTCCAGATATAATTATGGAGAAAAGGGCTGAGGAAGCAAAGCTAGCCTGTTTTGTTTTGATTGGACTAAAAGTTTAGACTTAAGTTCTCTGTGGTCTGGAGGCTGAGATTAAAGGGTCTGTAATTAGATTCAATACTCCATGTGTCTTAATGCCCAGAAAGGCCAAACCCTGTCTGCAAGCAATGGTAGTTGCCAGGATCATCAAAAATAATTCATAGATGCAAGTGAAAAGGAAATTATGCATGCTTTCTGAAATAGTTTGTTCTTGCTTGCTCCTTTCTGTGAAAAGAAAGGATAGGAAATTCCTCAAAATATCTAATAAACAAATAGAACTTCATTTTGAAAATAAATAGTTCTGGAAAGAGATTGCCTAGATATTGTGGATAGTCTTCTATGTTCAAGTAATGCTGCAGTAGTTTTCCTATCAATTCTCCTGTTATGCTTATGTTAGATTCAGTGATACTCAAAGCAAAATGGACTATTTAAGTGTGTGCATTTTTTATATGTCTGTGTCTTCATGAACAGAGAAAAGGTTTCTTTGTAATACATACCTCAGTCATGAGGACAAATGTGTCTCTTGATTAATAGCTTATACTAAATAGTTATTTTAAGGTTTTTGTTTCAGAAATTTTCACGTTTAAGCTAATAGTAATGAGTAAAATGATGTGTTCATTAGATTGACTTAACATTTGATGGTAATGCTAGAGGATAAATCATTTTTTCCATGTGGAAAGTGACTGTATTTGAGGGCACCACTCCTCACCAGTCCAGCTCACAAGCACTAGGTCTGACCAGAAGCCGAACTGCATTCTGAATGCTCTTCTCTCTTTCAGGCAAGTTAAAGATCAAAATAAGAAAGTAGCAAATCTGAAGCACAAAGAGCAAGTGGAGAAGAAGAAGAGTGCACAAATGCTGGAGGAGGCCAGGAGACGAGAGGATAATCTTAATGACAGCTCCCAACAGCTTCAGGTAACATGAGAATTGGATAAAAGCAATATGGCCAATGGGCCAGTAAGCTACGTCACCTCTTGCTGTACCTGCTGATCTATTTTCATAGCCATTACACACTGATTATTTAAAAGGAGACATCTATCTCACAGCTCTTCCAAGAAAGCAGCCTTTCTGTTTTCTTCACGGAAAAAAGGGTTTTTACTGTCAGTTCAGTTATGAAGTGCATCATTGAAATAATTTGATCATTTTAACATTCAGATTGGTGTGGCATTTCTTTCTTTGCTAATCTTCTAAAAGCTTTATTATTTTGCTGTTTTGTATGTTTTCCTAGCTGATTTTACCTAATACTGTTCCTTTTCTTCAGGAAATGAAAAATAAGCAAGTAAGTATTGTTATAGTAAATAGAAATTTTTGTGGCGCAACTGAAGAGTCTTGTTTTCTGTGTTTACTCGGCCTTACTTGACAAGAACCTACTCTGCCTCATGAACTCTCAGTATGCTTACTAGACAGTTTGCATTACTGTAGAAATCATAACATGCTGCTGCCATACCAAATTCTGGTTATCTCAAATCTGTCTAGGCATACAAAGTCACCAGTATGAAACCAACTGAAATACTTGTCAGTCTGCTCTAGGTTGATAACAGCTGTAGATGGTTTATCAAGCAGTTCAGTTTTCAAGTGCTGTCATAGAAACATTATACTGTTACCATGAAATAGAATGAAGGCTGCATGATTCCGAGAGAAGATAATAAATATTTTTCCTGTGATTTCTTAAATTTACAAAAGCAGCTTTCCTTTTGGTGAGTGAAAATAAACATGGGAATCAAAATCTACCCTTGAGATCTGTTAAAATTCTTCTCAAAATCTTTAGAGAACGTGCTTTCTCAAAGCTGTTTTCTTTGTTATCCTAGGTTAAATCCTGGTTCTTGGTACCAGCTGTGTTTGCTACTAAAACTACAATAAAGGCATAGAATAAATCCTAATAGCTCACAAGCAAAGACAAATCCCCTCCTTAATTTAAACAGATACTTCTTTACTCTGTTCTGTGGAATTCCGGTGGGATGGTTTCAACTCTTTAAGAACTTTTGAAAGAACCGCAGAAACATGTGTCCATGTGGAATGCTCTCAGATGCACCATTTTGTGGTTTTCCCCTTAGTTCAAGTCCTGCATGTGCGTTGCACTGAAATAGTTAAGTTCCAAGTGTATGAAAATGATTTCATAACTACACGCTTTTTTAAAAGACGGGGATGTGGGTTTTTCTACATCTGCTAATGGGTTTTGTGGCCGTAATGCTATGGCAATGCACAAGGCTCTTGTTATGTGGCAGCTTAAGTTCAAATAACACAATCCTCCTTGTATTAGTGAACTGTCTTTTAAAATTCCTGAAAATAATCTAGTGTATGGTTAGATTTTTAATCTGCAATTTGTATAAATCTGTATTTTAAGTTTGGAAAGGTAAGTAGTACTTGACATCTGTCATTCAACTATTTGCCTGTTGTACTTATCAAATGATACTATCACACATGTTCATCTTTATTTTATTTCTTTCAAAGCATGGCTTACCCTACTGGCTTTTTTCCTTGACATTATTCTTTCACTTTTTGTTTTTCTTTCTGTTACACAAATGGAATGCACTGAAAAAAAGCCTGACATTTGTTTTCTCTCAGCTCCTGTTAGCATACTAAAATTACTCTTTTTTTAGAAACAGTAAGTTATGTAATGTGTTTGTACAGCTACACATAGCAATGGGTGAACAGTGATACTCCAGTTATTGATAACTTTAATTCCTATTAAAATTAGTTAAGTTTCTGATATTTCAAAGAGATTTTATAGCTTTGGAGGCAGCATGAGACGGCCTTCACTCAGAAACTGACAAGTTAAAAGAATGGTGCTGGTTTGTATCAGACTTGTTTGAGAATGTACAGTTGTCCTTGCAATGCACTATCCAATTCTTTACTTAGTGTTTTAGTGGTAGAGATGGATAGTGGATAGATATAGAGCTAAGAATAGCATAATTGTACTTATTTCCTCTTTATTTTTTTAATTTAAATATCACAGTAAACAGCTTGAATCTAGGGACTAGAGATAAATGCAGTTGTTTCTTTTGAGGAAGCCAAATTATTTGATATTTTTCTCATTTTCTCTAGTGTTATTTTGTCGTGTCTTCAGTAGTTCTGCTGCTTTCCCTATAATCATATGCAAGTATTTCTGAGATAAATACAGATACTAACAAATGCATGTGAGAACTGACTGAAGTTGCGTGTGATACTTAACATTAAAGTGTGTAAGTTACCACACTGTTAATATTACTTGACTTTCCCTGGTTCATTCTCTGCTTTTGTGAATCTAACTGTCCTGTTTGGGTGGGCTCAATTTTTAAGAGTCTTTCCTCATATTCAACACAAGGCTGAAGGGAATGCTTTCATTCACGGATGAAAAAGGTCTGTATGCTCTAATGAAAATATCAAGCTATGGTAAAATATGGAGTGTTTAATGACAAGTGACAGCTTCAATAAAAACTCCTTCCCTTAGAAGAGCCCTCTGCTTATAGCCTCCCGCTCTCAAGGATTTCAACATTTTGATTTCCTGAAAGTAAAATTTACCCAGGACCACATTTTAGTTTGTTAACTAAGGAGACCTGTCTTCTGTAGATGCTCTAAAGGGCACTGACTTCTAATTGATTAAAACAAAATATTAATCTTGAGAGGAACATAGATTATTTTTTTTATGCAACCATTGTTGGCTTTGGGGTCAGGACACAGAAGCACCAATTTCAGACAATTTTGGTCTTGGTGGTTTTGGCTGGAATTAATAATATGACATCATGAAATGCTTAAAAATATATGATCTACTTGTTCTTTGGTTGACCGTCTGCTATCCAGTCAAATAAACACGCTCCCAAGCACATATTCCACTCCTCCTCTCTCTGTCCCTAACAGGCATGTGGTTTCTTTCTTCCTGAGTTCAGTAACAAAATGTTCGTTTATTCAGAAAGCTCTGATGATGGAAATTTGGTATTTTGGGGAGTGGGGGAAGAATGAAAACCATAATGTCTCAATTCTAGTGAGTTGGATAAATGGGTTTCCAAATTTGTCTTTTCCTCCTGAGTTCCCTTAAACCTCAACTCTCTAGAGATCTGAGAGGTTAACGAGTGTCTGGTCTATAAACAGTATGAAAAAAAGAGGGTCTTGGACTGGAGCAGAAAATTTTTTTCTTGGGGAAAAAAAAAAAAAAAAAAAATCAAAAAAACTTGGCTATTGTGAAAAGGAAGTGATATGCTGTGCTGTCCTGTCCTAAGAATGCTTACTGAAGAAGCTAAGAAAGCTTACTGAAATTACTGAAATACTAAGAAAGCTTACTGAAATTTCAAGAAAAGTGAATGGATTAGTGTGTATATTTTTTTGTCTTTTCCTTCCAGTGTCTTCCACAGTTTTCAGGTGGAGTTTTCTGAATACTTTGTGGCACAGAGTTGTCAGTTAATATTGTTTCTATATTGCAGTAACTATCCAGCAAATTGCTGCTGGAAAACTATGTATCCAGAAGTTGTGTAAATACATTTGAATGCTTTAATTAGAATCTGCAATACCAATTATATTTAGTAATTTTTTTTCACATCCAAACTTGAATAATTTCATATGTAATTTATAGATTAGGAGCTATCTGCAAGCAGACAAGTACGTGTTGTTTGTTTGTTTTTTCCTTGTGACTATACAGTGGCTCTGTCTACTGAGTATTCAATAGTTAAAATGTCCTTATAGTGGAAAGAGCTGAATTTCAATTTAAACAAATTTGCAGATTGTGGGGGTCAGGTAAACTTTTTGTTCAGTTATGACTTTACTGGCATCAAGATCAAGCTAGATGAAATGGATAAGTAACAGAATACCTTCTTATCAAATGAGCCTTCTGGATTCTTTATATGTATATCAGAAACTATTTCTAACAAAGCACGATGGCATCTACACAAAGTAGGTATCAACATTCAAAAATCTGTAAACACGAGTAAAACTCCATGATTTGCAGCCTAAATTACTGGAGAATTTTCATCCTGACTTGCTGATTAGATTTTGAGGGTAAGGTAGCTGAAGTGCTTTAGTCTGATCTGTTGATGGTTGTATCATTCTATGAAGAAGATGGGTTACCTTATTTCAGCTGTTAGTAAAGAGAGAACATACAGCCCTAATTAATCTGTGATTAACCTGTAATTAATTTCATCTGTGACTTTTGTACAGTACACACAGAGCTCCTGAAGAAACAGGCATAAAGAACTCTAAACTTGAAGGTCAAGATTTTCTCCATAACTTACTAGGCATTGTCAGCTTTGAAGCAAATTGGTTATGCTGGGTAAAATGGTGTTACACGTTTTCTGGGGGGATAAGTGTCAAATTCCAGGGCAATTTCTCTTCCATGTAGACCACTGACATATCAGATTCCATCCTAGCCTGCCAGCTGAGTGGAATGTACTCTTTTTTTATCTCTTAGATAGCACAGCTCGACATGTTAAGGCCTACAAAGCTGTCAGATACTGAATTTCAGCATGGTAAAATCCATTTTTTATGCTTTCTTGCATCTGCAGGTTTTATTACAGAAAACACAGCATATCAGATGTGTTTTCTCACTGAGTTCAGATCTACCTATGAGAATTATTCAGATCAAACTGTTCTTTCTCCCTTCATCTCCCAGTACTTTTCAGATACTGTGATAGGAAGGAGATTGGGCCTTCCTGTTGCTGGATAATTTTAAGTGCTGCCCAGCCTTGAAAGCGTTTTTTTTTGCCTGGGTCTGACTAGGTGTCACTGTCATCAACTCATGTGGCTCTAATTTTATTGAATGATATATTCCATCCTAGGTGTAATTGTTTCTGTCCTCTAGAACAGAACTTCGAGATATGAAGCACTGAAAGAATGTGAATTGCCTTTGCAATTCAGTTTTTAAGAAATTTATTAGTATTTTTGAGGGAATAACTTTTCTTGCAGTCATTCCACAGATTACCACAAAGAGAGAAACTTTGCATTATTGT